CACACGCGTATATCACAACAGCACGCCAACAGATATGTTGCGATGCTATGAGTGTGGGGGGGGCTGGGGAGTCGATTAGGGGAGGGGGGGAGTGACGCAGGAGCAAAAGTGGTCTAGGGCCACTGGACGAGGCGCTCGAGTTTGAAGGGGGTGCCCGGGGTATTGTGGGGATATCAAAGCCAACACCGAGCAGCAGGCTCTGGGCAGCAGAGCCCAGGGCAGCACAAGTCGCGCCTCCCAGCCGAGCTCCCGACGTTTCGCAACCGACCCGGACACGGGCCGCTACCGTGTGAGTTGGAGATGTTAATTCCCTCGCCTGGTATACAGGTGGTTCGTGGACTCGAACACGACCCCCGACGCCTGCTGTGTATTTGGAGTTTGCGGTATCTCTCTCTCTCCGGGGTCCTCCGCTTTTCCCAACCACATTTAGAATCAACGTCACACGTTCAGAGTCTTTGACTGCTGATATAAATCCCCACGTGATAAGCCGCTCATTTTGGGATATCGTTTGTGACAAGTCAGATCGCTTCTGAGAAAAGAGCTATATAACTCGGTGGGCCTTACCTTGTAAAACAAAATAAAAATTATTCTACGTAGTTTAGCTTAAGTTGTGTGTATGTTGAATTTCTTTCGCGCCGTACGTAGCCACCCGTGCAGCAAGGCCGCTCCGGAGATAATTCACGTCCAATAACAGCGGGGGGCCATTGCTAATACCCCCCCCCCGCCCATCAACGCGTGAACGTGCCTCGAATAAAGTTGTACGGGTGATAACAACACACGCGCACGAAAACAACTTAAACCGCGTGAGCAAATCACCTGCACGGTGTGGCGAACGATGCATCACACTCCCACCACGACCTGTATCACTTCACAAGTTAACCAAGGGGACCCCCACGGCTGTCACTCTGTGAACGGGAGACCAACACCCCCCCCCCCCCGGCCAAAAAAAATACAAAGATCCCCCGTATAGCATTAATAGACGGTAGGGGCAAGTGCTGTGAGCGAGCACCTATAAAGGCCGGCACGGCACACGAGGGGGTGGGTGGCCAACACCACGCCCGGCCGCCTTTGTCTCCCTAGTGGCGATGCTCACACATCGCAGCAAGTATCTCATTTGAGGCTGAGTCGACCTAAGGGAGTCCCAGGACCGGTTCAGATAATCGTCACTTGGTGTTGGCCGTGAGCGGGAATCGAACTCGGGTCGCCAGGTTCGTAGCGCAGCGTAGCGCTAACCACTACACCACCGCCCCCCACAACACCCCCACAGCCCCCCCCTCCCCACACCCTAAGAGCTAAGACTACCCCCCTCCTGGGGGGGGGGGCGGTGGAGTTCTTTCGACCAGAGTCTCTCTCGAGACGCTCTTACGCCGTCTAGATATTGAAGGGCTGCAGGTTTAGCTTTGGTGGTGGTGGTGGGAGGGGGATACCGAGTCTCTGCTCACGAATATCGAAGGTTCCCGTGCACGTGGACAGGAGGAGCTGTGACAAGCACGGACACGCGCAGTCGATTTAAAAAGGGAGCGCTCTCAGCAACAACATCTCTGGAAGAACGCGAGCAGTTTGATTGTCTAGCATAGCCCGACTCTGCTGATGAGACCCGGCACGTTGAAAACCGGGCCCTAGGGGTTCGCTCGAGCAATAATAATAATAATGTTTATAAAAAAAAAAGCCGGAAGGCAAACAGACCGAGAGACTAAATAATAATGTATATTTAACGTGAGGATACAGAGGGCATATTTATTTATTATATTATCTCATGGTGACCGCTCAGTGTAAACACACGCCTGACGGCTGCGCAGTTACTATTGCGCAACACCCGGCCGCCTGAGTTCAATTCCCGGCAACGGCGAACATCAGTGGGTGGGTGAAATCGGCCACGTTCACAGCGGGCCCCCTCCTCAACCAACCGGCACTGACCAGTGTGAAGTATGGTCAAAGAACCCCCCATGAGACCGTGTGTGTGGGGGGGGGGGGGGGGGGGTCTTCATCCAGCAGTGGATCGACGAAGGAGGTTTTGCATTTAGAATTTTTTTTTTTACAGAAGCAAACGTCTTATTATTTTTTGTCACTTTATTTTGTGTTACGTAATTGTTATTTTTTTTCTGTCTACGTGACTTTAACGAAAGAACCATGGAATCAGAAGCAAACGTGTCATTGCCATCGGAGAGTTTGCAGTGGAATGCCCCATCGATTCTAAACATCAGTTGCTGTACTCCACTTCTATGCGTCCACATCCACGCCTCCTACGCCGCCTTCACCAACGCGCACTTGACCAGCGCGGTGAAGTATGGTCAAAAATTAACCGCAACGCCCGACAAAAAAGGCGGAGTGTGAATGTACCACACCGACAGTGACTTGACAAGAACGAGCTGCACATAGCAATCGTCACCATCATCATCATCAGTCATGATCAATCCACTGCTGGATTGCAGGCCTCCGGCAAGCCTCGACCATCTCTCACCGTTCTGCTACACGCGTGTGCGTGTTCAATGATTTCCCTCTCGATGACGCCAGTTCTATCGGGAAGGTATTCTTGTTTCTTGGTCAATAACCGCATCAGCGATTTGCACTTCAACCGCTATCGCTTGCCCTGCACAGGTGGCGGCGGCGGCGGTGGTGGTGGTAGGGGCAGTCCAAAGTACAAGTAGATATAGGGGTGTGGGAGCGGTGGGCCAAGTGGTTAGCGCACTTGTGCCCACCAACCCGGCCCACAAACAAAGTTCAATTCCCGGTTGCGGCTATAACGTCAGCAGTAGCGGCGAGTTTATATCAGAGCAGAGCAGGGCACTCACCCTCCCCCCCCCCGCCCCATGCACCTTTGCCAGCATGGTGAAGTATGGTCAACTCTCCCGCCTTCACCGTAAGCGGCAAGGCATGGGGGAGGTCTACATCATCCATCGGTGGATTGAGAATGGCTGGAATTTATATTTCACTTGGTCGTGAATTTGTGAATTCTTTTTTCGTTAACAGCCTGCGTCTTCCCGCGACAATGTCCACTCGCTACACCTCTCATCGTGATGCCGCTAACCAGAGTTCAAGTTATGCCGTTTTAAAAACACCCCAAAAAAGGTAACAATTATTTAAAGTCCCTTGTCGATCCACTGCTGGATGAAGGACTTCATCCCCCTGGCGTTACCGCTCGTGGAGGATGTTTGACCATACTTCACCGCGCTGGTACGTGCGCGTTTGTGCAAGGGCTGGTGTCGGGGTGGGATGCAGAGTGACCCAAGTCCTGGTCCACATATCCCGAGCCGCCGATGCAAATAGCTCGAAGCGGGTATTGGATTTCACTCGGTCGGATCGCGCTGCCTGTGATTCTTAGCGCAGTGCGCTCACCGCTGCCGCAACCGGGCTTCACCAAGTGGCGAACAACTAAAACAATTGATGTATTTATGACCCTGGCATCAAAAGTAATCGATTTTACATCGCTGTGGGAACACGCGCAGCTGGCGCTATCGATTTGCTGCGAGCAACATGCGGACACCTAAGCAGGGGTTGCAACCTGGCTAGCAGCGCTGTTGAATTGACGGACTGCCTGCCAATAATAGGTTATCGCATGCAGACCGTCGCGCCGCGAGGTGGCGATGATACATCTAATGCAGAAACCGTGTTCTTGAATGGAAACTATCTGCGCGGAGACTTTTCGAGTGGGTTGCCACGGTGGCGAGATGTTAACTACCTCGCCTGTTATGCAAGAGGTGGTGGGTTCGATCCCGACCCTGATGTCTGTGTATTTGGAGTTTGCGTGTCTCTCTCTCTCTCTCTGTCTCTCTCCCTGTGGTCGCGTAGATTTTTCTCCGGGTCCTCCGGATTTTTTTCCCCTCCAACATTTGAGAATCAACGTCACGCGTTTAGAACATTTGGCTGCTATAAATTCCCACACGATCAGCCACTTCGTTGAACAATCATTTGTGGCCACGTCGCTTCTGAAAAAGAGCCACTATATAGCTCAGTGGGCCTCATCTGGTAAACACATTTTTTTTATTTTAGTTTATAGAGAGTGTCAGCCGATATATCCGTGTTTCTTGCCACGTGAAGCCAAACCCACATCAACGGAATTGACCAAGCATCCCCAATGCAGCAGGACTCTTTCTGAGTGTCGACACTCCCGTGCGGTTTTCCCTGGGTAAAATAAAGGTGCATTTCTCGCTCGCCTAGCTGTTACTATGCCGATCATCATCACCGCTCTGCTTACAATACTACAACCTGCCCACGTCCTACATTGGAGCCGATCACATTAACGATCACCACCACCACCACCGTCACCGTGAATATATAATCGACTAGATCCTCGATTAAAGTAATCAGTCAGGGTCTAATTGCGACGCAGCCAATGTCCACGTGGGAGGTGGGCGGGGGGGGGGTGGGTAACGGAGCGGTGGCGCAGCGGTTAGCGCACCCGTGTTGTCAAGTCGGATCAGCAGGGGAGCTCGAAATCGCGCGCGCACCGATGCGGCTCGACGCTCGCTCCCTTTGGCAGCCCCCGCGCCGAGCTCACCGGCCTCGAAGCCCCCCGCACGAGACCTCTCCCTCGCCAAAACGAGCAGGGCACAGCGCAGTCGCGGTGGCTAGCGTCCGACGGTGGAGCAAGCGTGCAAGCCCGCGTGGTGTGTGCAGCAGGGACGTGGTGAGTGCAGCAGGGACGTGGTGAGTGCAGCAGGAACGTGGTTAGTGCAGCAGGGACGTGGTGTGTGCAGCAGGGACGTGGTGAGTGCAGCAGGGACGTGGTGAGTGCAGCAGGGACGTGGTGAGTGCAGCAGGGACGTGGTGGTGCAGCAGGGACGTGGTGAGTGCAGCAGGGACGTGGTGGTGCAGCAGGAACGTGGTGAGTGCAACAGGGACGTGGTGGTGCAGCAGGGACGTGGTGGTGCAGCAGGGACGTGGTGAGTGCAGCAGGAACGTGGTGAGTGCAGCAGGGACGTGGTGTGTGCAGCAGGGACGTGGTGTGTGCAGCAGGGACGTGGTGGTGCAGCAGGAACGTGGAAGGTCCCGGTACTCACCGTCACGGGGGGGAGGGGGGGATGGGGGTCCCTCTTTCGCTCCGAAGATCCGACTCGAAGAGTTGTTGGGTTTTTTCGTCTTCGTAGGGGTGGGTTGGACACTCGATTAAAGGGGTTCTTGGTGATTTCAGCAGCACGCTCCTTCTTCCCCCCCCCACTCCCAACACACACACACAAACGGAATCTAAAGTCAAATGTACGAGGATGGTAGGAGAAAGTAAAGGAGCCGCGGCGTCCGGGAAACTTCGCTAACGACTGCAGGGAGGGGGAGGAGGCAACGGCCAAATAGAAATGCGGATTTAAAAAAAAAGAAGAAAATAAATCCACACCAACAGGGGAGAGGACTGCGAATCGGTCTGTCTCGGCTGTGCTGCGACTTGGTGCAAAAAAAAAATAGCAACAGAAAAAAACGCACGAGGTCTACTTTGAACTATCAATGCTTGGGCTGGTATATATCATGAAGACGTTGAGTCTTCCACCAAGGTCTTGAGGCTTCGGGGATAAATGAGCTGCTGCTGCGTACGGAGCACGGGACACCCTTTACCGAGAGCTTCCACGGCAATAATATCCGTGGGTCTCAGACGCCGGAGGAGTGCTGCTGGTGGTGGTGGATGATGACGACGACTTTGCAGGCGTGGTGCTTGCTGCAAGACGACCGAAAGTAGCGGTAACGTTCCAACCCTCGATAACCCCCCCCCCACGCCTTGCAACGTCGCTCGCTCCAGCCACTGCGCGCGCCTCGCTCGCTGTCTCTCTCTCTCTCGCTCGCTGTCTCTCTCTCTCTCGCTCGCTGTCTCTCTCTCTCTCGCTCGCTGTCTCTCTCTCTCTCGCTGTCTCTCTTCTCCGTGCCGCGTGAACTCGACTCGCACACCGACTGACCAGCTCGCCGCCTCGCTCGCAGCTCAAATAGAATCACCGCAGCACGAGCGGTGTTGGGCTGCCCCGATAACGTGGTGCGCGCGTCACGCCGCCCCCCACCCCCCCACCAACTCATCTCCCCACCCACCCCCCACACACACACACACTCATGCACCAACGCCCGCATGCATTGCTGCTGTAACGTAGCCCAACCTCCCATGGCAAGCCCAGCCCAGTTCATACCGGCATTCCCGCTCCCCCCACCAATACGCTCCACCACCACCACCACCCACCCCGCCAACCAGCCCACCCCGCCTGTCCCCCCGTGTGTGCGCAGAGTGAGAGAGCGAGAGTCCAACTCCCCGCTCCCTTCTCTCCAGCCACAACCGCCTTCTATCTCTCTCTCGCTATCCACAACCCCCTCCTCTCCCCAGCCACAACCCGCTCCTCTCCCCAGCCACAACCTCCTCCTCTCTCCAGCCACAACCCCCTCCTCTCCCCAGCCACAACCTCCTCCTGTCTCCAGCCACAACCCCCTTCTCTTCGGGCCACAACCCCCTTCTCTTCGGGCCACAACCCCCTCCTGTCTCTCCCCGGCCACAACCCCCTCCTGTCTCCAGCCACAACCCCCTTCTCTGAAGGCCACAACCCCCTCCTGTCTCCAGCCACAACCCGCTCCTCTCCCCAGCCACAACCTCCTGTCTCTCTCCCCAGCCACAACCCCCTCCTGTCCCCAGCCACAACCTCCTCCTGTCTGCGGCCACAACCCTATCCTCTCCCCAGCCACAACCTCCTCCTGTCTTTAGCCACAACCCCCTCCTGTCTCAGGCCACAACCTCCTCTCTTTTTTTGGGAGTTTAATCGTTTTTATTGAGCAGACACTGCTGAGAAATACAATTTTTTCTCTCTCTCCCCAGCCACAACCCCCTCCTGTCTCAGGCCACAACCCCCTCCTGTCTCTCTCCCCAGCCACAACCCCCTCCTGTCTCAGGCCACAACCCCTCTCCTGTCTCTCTCCCCAGCCACAACCCCCTCCTGTCTCTCTCTCGCTTTCCACAACCCCCTCCTGTCTCTCTCCCCAGCCACAACCCCCTCCTGTCTCAGGCCACAACCCCTCTCCTGTCTCTCTCCCCAGCCACAACCCCCTCCTGTCTCTCTCTCGCTTTCCACAACCCCCTCCTGTCTCTCTCCCCAGCCACAACCCCCTCCTGTCTCTCTCTCGCTTTCCACAGCCCCCTCCTGTCTGTCCACAGCGACAATCCCCCGCCTCGCCTCTCGACAGGACGCGTGGCTCCCCCTCAATGACGTCACTGAAGCGCTCTCGCCCCCCCCCCCCGCCGCAGTTCCCCCGCAACCCCTCCCCCACCCGCCCCCCCCAACTCTGTACGCACGGGTCCGTGCCGCGAGCTCAGGGTAAATATACATCAGCATCGTCGTCACCATCACTTGGACACGTTGGTGAATGGCGGTTTGCGTATGTGGATCGATGATTGGGTGCGAGTGACACCACTCCATCCTCCCCCGTCCCTGCAGCCGCTAGAGGCCGCCACATTCACCAGAGTGGGAGCACGCAGGGGGAAAAAAACACACACACACGAAGCGTAAACAACGACTGTATCGAGATAGAATAGGTGGCGGCCCCGACGTCTATTCCCGGCTCGGCTCACGTCAGTGGCGAGTGACGCCGTCACCACCACCAGCAGCAGCACCACCAGCAGCACCACACCAGCACCACAAGCACTCCACCACCACAGCTGTTGTCCGGCTTCATGCCCGACGTTTCGTTCCACGTGCTGGGAGCTTAATCAGGAATTGCATTTGGGGTGGGTGGGTGGGTGGAGGGTTGCAGAATTGTAAATGTTCGCTTCGGTTATTCGTCATTGTTTGTTTTTGTTACATAAACGCTTTGATCCCTCTCATCCTTCCATAAACACCATTACGGTGTAAAACTGCCTAGCAAATAGCAAATGACACGCGGCGTGTAAACCGGTATTAGCCCAAGCATCACGAAAAACAAATGTACCTGCAAATCACTCAATTTGAATCACAGGCAACAGCGGCAAACATCGCCCCCTACCGCTACTCAACTTGGCAGGAACAGCCCTGACCAGAAAGAGCCTTGAGACCCAGCCGAGGCTTATAGCTCATCGGATTCCTCAAGCATAAATACATTCTGTTTTTTTTTGTTCCTGGATAAACCAGCGTCGTGAGAATATTAATGTTAATCATGATAAACAACGTGACAAGAATATCACGCGAGCGCCGCTAGATGCCTAATGAGCCGCTGTGTGTGTGTTCACAGTGTTACATTTTTGCATCATTGCCGCACGTTTTGTTTCTACGCTTTGCTATTTTAGCAACAACAAAAAAATCACATTTTATTCATGGCCTCGACAAAAAAGTTATCATCTGGCTAAAAATATAATTTTAAATTGATATATATATTTTTTCACCTGGAGACGACTGCTTGTGTTGCGATCGAAACGTCGTGATGTTATTATTTTGATTATTTTTTTTTATATCTACGTGGCTTTACCGAAATACCCAAAGAATATGACGTCTATTAAAATGTCCACCACTATTGCCTTTTGTTAAATTCCTTGAGTCACGCATATCGCATACGGCCCCCGTGCGCCGGAAAAACAACAACAACAACAGAGACGTCAACCAAAACACACGCCAACAATAGGACGTGTGCATGCAGCAGTCCGTTTGCTCAGTCCACAGCTGGATGGAGCCAGGACCTCGCTACTGTCGTGTGGGTCCATAGGGGGGGGATCTATTTGACCAGCCCACATCTCAGCACGCCGGTTAGTGCTAGTTAGTGCTAGTTAGTGCTGGTTGAAGGAGTGGCACATTTGACTTGGGGACAGGACCGTCCATAGAAAGGTTGTGGGACCCCCCCCAAAGCACGGGGCCCGGGGCAGTCGCCCCGGTTCGCCATACCCTAGGCACGGCTCTCCTTGGGGGCATGGAAGTACGGTACAACAATGGATGTTAATGCAAGCCGACATAATTATGGGCTGTGCATAAAAAAAAACCGTTGTTGGACTGTACTTCGATGCTCCCACGTCTATGCTGTTCCGCCTTCACTAACCCGAGCTGACCCACGTGGTGAAGTATGGTCAGATAACGCCCCCACGCGAACAGCGACTGCAATCGGGAGGCCCTGATCCAGCAGTGGATACACGAATATTCTGGGCATGTAAATAATGATCACTGTCCACGAAGGGTATTATTAACAAGTGTTATAAGTCAACGTTGCAATTCATCATCAGCCATGGTCGATCCACTGATGGTTGAAGGCCTCCCCAATCCACCGCCGCCACTCAGAGATGGACCTCGAAACTTCCCGAAGGATGGGGGAGAGGGGGGGACGGAGGGGGGGGTGTTTCTGAAATATATATTTTTAAAATAGGGCCCTTACATTCATAAAATATAATCAATACATTATATGTGGTAAATATCAATAAAATACCAATTTTCTGGGTCTTGTCGAGGGTAGAGGGGGTGGTGGGGGCAATCACCACCCCCCCCCCCCCCAGTTCCCCTCCACTTGCCACCACCTCTCACGACCCTGCAATGCAACAACAAAGACAAAAGAACCCCCGTATAGACGTAACAGACCTTTGGGGCAAGTGCTGTGAGCACCACCCAGCACCTGTAACAACGAACGGATTTCATCGCTCCGTCTCCCCGTTATAGGTCCCATCCTCTCGTGCGGCAGTTCCATTCCTTGGCAATTTCAATCGAACGCATGTTCACAGACGTGCGTGTGTTTGCTTTATTTTCTACGTAGGGAGCAGCGGCGAAGTGGTTAACGCTACGCTGCGCTACGAACCAGGAGGCCCGACGATTATCCGAACCGGTCCTGGGCCTCCCCTCGATCGACTCAGCCTCGAATGGGGTACCCGGTGCGGTGTGTAAAAATATCGTCACTAGGGAGACAAAGGCGGTCGGGCGTTGTGGTGGCCACCCACCCCCCGCTCGCGTGCCGTGGCGGCTTTAATGTTTGCAAACCTGTTGGATCAATTTTTTAACTCCCACATCTGGCGGGGAAGGGGGTGGGGTCGACTCTCAAAAATGTTTTGATCGAAGCCTCCGGAAAGGCTCTCTTTTAATTGAGTTAACAACGGACACACGGAACGCCGACGCTTTTATAAAAAAGATGTCATGAGTCACGCATTGCAAACACACACACAAAAAGCGATGTTTTCCCCCCCTCTACGCATACATACATAAGCGGGGCGAATGTTTAATAAATTGGAGGCAGTATGTTTAAATAGCACGGTACAGATGGAGGGCTATGAACTGCGTCAGCGCCGGGGTGGGTACCAACTCCCAAGCACTCGGAAGTTAATTGCCTCAAATTGCACCTGGGGGGGGGGGGGGTGGTGATGGGGGGGGGGGTGTTGTGTGTGGTGCGTGGAAGAGCGACTGACTCATCACCGTCGCCTCGTGGATGCAAAATGTTTACAGCCTCGCCGGAGCCCCGCAAAACAGACAAGGGCGGAGAGAAATCACAACAATCATGTAATTATGTATTCCTGTTTAAGCTTCGTAAGGTGCGCCCTTTAAACGCTACACGCTACGCAATTTGACACCCGCAACACTCGGATCTCGAACAACGCCGCATTCACTCATCCGTGCCTCGCAGTGTGTTGCGCTTGCGTTGACAGCCGAGTGGGAGGTTTCAGGCGCAGCCCCGCAATTTCTCACTCACGCCACAGCTTACAGGGGCCATATTTCTCGCGCCCTACATTAAAAAATAATACAATTCACGTGTAATATATAGTCACTAAGTATCAATAAAATATACCTTTTGGTAGAGCCACCCCGCAGGGGTACGGCGAATCGGGGCGCTGTACATGCGACCTTAAAACTCCATCATTGACGGGCGGAAGAGGGCGAATTTGTTTTTTTTTTTCTAGGAGGGGAGAGAATGGTGCAGCTCGTGATTTGGAACGCGTCGGAGAGAGACTCGACCAAACGAAGGAGATGGAGCGATGAAATTAGATCTGTGTGAAAAGAGCTTTATAGCTCATCGGATTCCTCCGGTATGAATAAAGATCATGATTATTACATGCCAGGATCGT